TCAGGTTTTAAAATAGGTGGTGCCCCTATCCAAAACACACATACAGAATCAGATGTTTTTCCTGCCTTGCCTGAGAGACTAGACTTTCCATTTATCTTAACAGTTTTTTTTTGTTTGTTTTCAATTTACTTTTTCTGGAGTGGAGTATTAATCTTGCCAACATTTCTCTGATTATGTGAGTAACTTGACATACAGCATCACTAGAAGCCTCCGCATGTGTGAAGACCGTTGTGGGATGGGGGTTGAAGTCCCTAGTACAGATAAATGCAGTGTTTATAACTGTGCAGTGTTTCTTAGCAGTATTAGTGGCTTCCCGGCTGGTACAGGCACAGCTGGCAGGACTTGAGTGGTTAGATAACAGCAGAAGTGCTGTGTTGATCCGCTTGGGAATCTGGCTTTTCCCGGTGACAGCATTCAAATAAACAGACCAGGACTTCATGGTGAAACAAATGCGATTTGAGAAGTCTTTCCATTGAATGTAAAACCCCAAACATCTTTTATGGGTTTTTCCTGCTTGTCTTCTCGCTTTTAGAATTGTAGAACAAGCAAAACAAGTCTTTTGCAAACTTGTTTTATATTGCCAGAAATGAATTAATTTGAGAGGATAGGAAAATTTCTCTGTTTTATATTAAATACTAAGAATTTAAATTAGTTTTTACAAAGAATCAGATTACTTGGTTATAAAATTGCAGGAATGGAAATCCTGATAATAGTGTTTTGGAATAAAAATGTATCTTTGCAATGTCTCACCTGGCTCTTAGAGGTGAGGAGGAAAAATGTGCTGGGATTATCTTGTGCTTAGTCACTGGAGGACCTTATATATGATCTCAGTATGTTGGAGGGGACAGTGTCCTTTGTTTTTATGGTTTGCTTCAGTAGGAAAAAACCTCTTGATCTATCATAAACAATTTTTCACAGGTGTAAGTGTTTGTAAGGTGTTTCTAAGCTGGCCTTTTTTGTGTTTGATGCTTCTTTTATTTACATGGCATTTTTTCTTTTGTAGGGGTTTATTATGTAGAGAGGCAGGGATTTGTTGTGTTTATTGTGTTTATGTGTAGGGGTTTATTGTGTTTTTCGGTAGTACTAACCTCAGATATTCGGATATGGCCTAAAAAAAAGTACACCAATCTTGTATTTTTCTGTATATATCAGGCAGCCATTCCTTCAGCTATTTACAGAATCTCCAAAAGCTTTTGAATGTGAAGGAAGAGCTACATTACAGGACTTATTTAAAAGACATTGTCATAAACTGTGGGTTACAGAAATCTGAAGGAAAATACATAAGAGTTAAGAAAATCAGATACTGCATTTGAATGCTCTGGGAAAAAAAAAGTATCTGGGGAAAAAAAAGTGCTATGCTTTAAACTTTATCATTGAAAACATGGTGTTGATTACAGTCTAGGACATTATGGCTCTTCTATTTGAACACTTTTGTGACTGTTGTTCATCTCTGCTTGAGAATACTTGATGTCTGCTGAGTGAAATCATAGCACAATTATCAGAGCCTGTATGCTTCTAGAAATTGGACTTGAATTTTGATCTCAGATTTCTGTTGTCCGCTGCTGATGTTTTTCAGTGGTGTTTCAAATAGTATGCTCTTAATGATGCCTTTTTTGTCATGTTCTGACAAAGTACTGACCAGAAACATAGGTATACGTACATAATTGTGAATTGCTGCAAAGTAGTTGATTGCTATGTCACTTAAAAAAAAAGAAATGGTTCATTTAATTGGAAAGCTATACTGTAACTGAAGTTTTGGGCAAAATTTTATATTCATTATTCTGTGACCCAAATCCACTCTTGTGCTCTCTTGTGGATGACTGGCAGTTCCTAATTTAATTTATCCATGTTCTTTTGCAAATGAGAATTAGCTTTGAATGTACTGCATGCTTTTATACTATGTTAAATATATCAAGGAATGCGGGAGGAGACATGGATCCTTAGATTGCTAAAGCTCAAGTGGAACATTGTTAAGAGAATCTTGTTTTGAATTGTGATCTGCAGAAAATAATATGATCTAGTATATCAGACTTAGATACTCTGTGCCACATGAAATATTTCTTTCTGTGTATGAATTATCTGATATTTTCCAGCTACTAGGTACCTTAAAAGCATAATAGAAGGGTAATACCTTCTGATAGGTAGTAACATTATGTAGGTATCCATTTATTCACTTTTATCAAAATGGAATTTTTTTTAGTAACTGGTGATCAGGGGGAATTTGGAAGCTGGCTGTTTGAATATGAAATATTAGCTGGGTTCTTACTTACCTGTGATGTGTTGATGGATTCCTAGAGCATGAATTTAGCCTGGAGGCTTTGGTGTCTTTGCTCTTTTTGTTTGATTGGTTTCTATCATTTCTTTCAAGCAGGAAAATTAGGAGGGCCCTTGATGTTAGGAATGAAGTTTTGTTTTGGGATGAAAAGCACAGTATGTGCCTCAGCTCTTGATCACATGCCTTAAGGACTCTAGTATTTTCATGATTGTGTAGGTGGAGGAAACAAAGGACTTAGAGTGCAAAGATATAGAAAATGGTAGATTTATTGACTGTTTTCAGGTAACACTATCTGTTGGATGAAGATATGAATATATCTTTCCTTCTTTTCCTTGCTGGCAGTGCTTTGTAATTGGAATAAACTTAAGCACTATTGTTGTAAGATCTAGGTGCTCTAGGTGACCCTGCGTGAGCAGGGGGGTTGGACTCGATGACCTCTGAGGTCCCTTCCAACCTTCGGCATTCTATGATTCTATGATTCTATGATTCTATTCTAATGTTTCTATCTATCTCCAGTCTGAGACATCTAAGAGCTATTGTGCTCCAGTTCTATTTAGTACATTGTATATCTATCCTAAAACAATATGCAACTTGAATTTTATGCTTGTACTTTTTCACTAATGCTTATGCCCTGAAACATCATTAGGCATTTTTGTCTTTTTTTTTTCCCCCACAATTTTATCATAGTCACAAATAAAAGCTTGCAGAGACATCTAAGGTTTTTAGCTGGAAAACTTCATGGAGATAGGACTGTGTGAATTCAGACCTGAAGAGATTTTTTTCTGTCAGTATCATGGAGAGTGACGTTTTGTACTTTTGAATATGCAAAGCTTGTCTTTTAAGGAAAAATTTAAATAATACTCATGACTGTATACATTATAAAATAATAGTATRTTTGTTAATCATTCTCACTTTGCTTGAGTGAACATGTACAGCCTGCTAATAACAGGAAAATACATTGTGGAAGTATCATGGAGTGGATAGTGGATAAGGCAATATATATATCCTCCAGGCAACCAGTCAAAAAGTAACAAAGGGAATAGTAAAGGCAGGTGATGAAGGGTAAAAATATAAGTGATGCAAGGAATGGAAGCAGTAGAAGTAGCTTGTATATATTGAAGGAACATTAACAGAGGCTCCTGTTACCAAATTTTCCTCCAGGAAAGAGAAATCTGTTCAGAAATCAGCAATTTATGGCTGGAGGAGAGAGGAGGTGACAAGGAACAGAATAGACACAGGAAGAACTTCACATAAATAGCTTAAATGGGGGTATGAGGGAATATGATATTCTATTCTATTTTTTATTTTATTTTTAATTGAATTTTATTTTTTATTTCTTCAATGACAGAAGTGCAAAGAAGAGCAACTGTATCGGTCAGAACTATATAAATTATAAAGATAATATGATCACAGAACTATTGCACTGTTTGTCCCTGTGTGTGTACCACTCCAGTCTTCAAACACAAATCTTTTGTGTAGGGAGCTGCAGGCCTGTCTGGAGGGGTTGTCTGAAGGCCATTTCTGCCACTGCCCTTTACAGGGTCTTTCCCTCTGCTGCTCTTATGTGAAATGCAGATGATAACAGCCCAGTTTTGTAAAATACTTGGAAGAATATGGGAATATTTTGTTAATTTTTGTGTAGCCACGCTATGCATAATTTAAAATGTTACCATCTTAAATGCAGCAAAATATTTATTGTTAAGGGATCGATTTGGAGGCACATTTAAATATTGCTCAGTACATTTGTGGTTGTATATCCTGTATGGTTTCTGTTCTGCAGACATGCAGAGGACACTGTTTGCATTGTTTCTTTGCAGCAAAGAGTAGAGGCCTGTGAAGTCGCTCATACAGCTTCCGCAGCAGAGCAGTCCCGTGCAGGGCTTGGGTAGGAAAAAGCTCAGAGACTGACACTGCAACATAACCGAGCACCGTTGCCTGCCGAGAATCTCCAGTTCTAGGCAGACAACATTGGCCCAAACCACAGCTGGTAAAAATACTAAAAATCGTGTTACCTGGATCACAGGAAATGGGAGGGTCCATGAAAGTTCCCTGGCACTAGATTAAGGAGAGATGAAACAGTTCTAAGATTCAAGAAAGAAGAAATAAAGAATAAAGTCGTTAAATAAACATGGTGTGTAGAGCAGCTTCCTTCAGGCTGTTGCACCTAGTGATGATGCAGGGATAAAAATGCCTTTTTCTGTCATTCTTTTGGGCGTTTCTTCCTTGTCCTGCAGTCCTGTGTAGGAACGAAGGACCAAGTCTCTTGCTGTGGGCACTGCATGAAGATGTCGTAATAGGAGTCACTGCCAAAACTGCTTATGAATGGGAAGACAAACAAACACACATAGTTTTGAAGTTGTGTTGAAATGGCTTTTTGTTTTGTCAGTGTCACATCAGGTGGAAATACAGTTAATAGTAATGCATCAAATTTTATTACATGTGCAGCTATTAGAGTAGCATGAGTCTTCCTGAGGCAGAATTTAAGGTATTCTTGTCAGGAATCAATTTGTGCAGGAGTGGGGAATATATTGATCCCTGAGGAGTATGTTTCAGTTGCTGCCTTTTTAGGGAAGACAAATGTTGTCCTCATCTGAATAACCAAAACCAAATAAATCCGTATGGCTTTTTTATTTGATCCTTTGATTAGATTCTTTTAAGCTGATAATCATCAAGTTCAGGATATTCAGAGTAATGCATCAATTCTTTCTCTTTTTCAGAGGGAAACAAAAGGTCAGTTTCTCATAGATCACATCTGCAACTATTACAGCTTGCTGGAAAAAGACTATTTTGGCATTCGGTATGTCGATGCAGAGAAGCAGAGGGTATGTATATGAATTCCAACTAGCTTTTATTTTAAATTGATTTGTTCAACAACTAGTCAAGACCTAATGCAAAGTTATGTATGTCGAAGCAATTAATTAAGCTGTGGCTAGAGTCTATACAGGTTCCTAAAGTAGCTTTAATAAATTTGTTTTATCCTCAGTTCATCTATACACGTTTCAGGTGAACTGATATATTCAAATCTGCCTTGTTGTCCTGGTTGCTGAAGATAGAAAAGATCTTTAGTTCAGGGCTCAAAGACAACACAATTATTCTAGCTGTGTTATTCTAGCACTGCACCGGACTCAAGGATTTCTCTCTCTCTTTTTTTTTTTTTCTGAAGAGTGTATCTCTTGAGTATTACTGGCAGAAATAATATTGAGCTTAACAGCAAAAGATGTTCTGTTCTGCTTTCCACRGGGGACATAAATTTGGATATCTGTAATACAGAAACCAGCTGTGATTGTAAGGTTGGGAGAATTCTTCAGTTCTCACTATAATCATCTTTAAATCACATTTGAATAATAAAATTTAATATCCTTACAGGCCTGTGCTATAGGCATTTGTGTGAATAATGCTTAGAGTCATTGCTCTTAGGTGAAAGGTAGTTTGTCTTCTGTTGGTGATTTACTGCCTCTAGTCACCATTTGGGTTTCAGATTAATGTTACTGTTAAGAATGGGAAAGGATGGTCAACACTGGAAGAAGACATCTTCAGACAGACAGTTGAAAATTCCCTTTTCCCTGTGAAGTGTCAGACATTACTGGTCTCAAAATTAAGACTTGRCGATGCCATCACATATCTCTGGAAATGAGCTGGTCTCTGGAAATGAGCAGCAGCTTGAAAGTGGTATGATTCAGTGGGAGAAAATCAGTTTGATGTATAGCGTTGCTAGACACAAGCTAGTTAAATTTTGTCAAAAACCATTGGAATTAGGACTTTTTGCTCAAGTCTATAGAATTGAAATAGTGTGAATTGAAAACTCCAGCAGATTGTTTTCTTTGCATCTTCCTTCTTAGTAAATTGGTAGTTATTTTAGCCAAGACATGCTTCATGATCAATAAAACTGAAAGGTGTTCACCTAGTAGAAACTGACAGAAGTAGGTGGATTTTGGTAGATGGAGAACTTTCTAGTTCTCATTTTCCATATATTGACTAGTTTGTTTCAATACTTTTTATTCCAGTTGTCTGTGCAGTTGCTCACATGCATCTTGCATTATAGCTARTTTTGTTTTAAGTTTAGGAAAGATGCACTTCATCCTAAAGCTCACCTTTGCACCTCATTATGAGGGAAATACTGTTCTTGGAAAGAAAGGGTGATTTATGCATGTACTTTCCCTCAGAAGTACATTCAGAAAAAGAAATTCCTGTGCAAATAAAACGATTGTAAGGGCTAAAATAATAGAGAAATGTTATAATAAAGAAACACTGTGTGCAAACACATATGAATATATTCTGACCAAATACGAGTACTGTTGCAGTCTTTATTTTATCAATAGGAAGATTTTTCTGATCTTAGAGGTCTAGCAATTGACAATCTTCTGGCATTGTAAYAGGCCAGTATATTGGGGCCCAAACACTGTAGCTGAATAAAGTTCATCCATGAATGACTCATGATCACAGACATAAATTACAGCAAGTGTAAGAAATAGCGGGGCACTATATCATTAAATTGGGGTCCCTTCATAGTAGCTGTCTTACTGGAAGGTCCAAGTTAAAAGGGAGAGATGTTTTCTGTAATATATTTAGGTGTGTTATAAAATAGAAGCAATAATAAGCAAAGTCAGTTAAGATCTGTAAGGTCTATAAGTGTAATTCACCAAGAATTTGTTTGGAAAGTAATAAATCCAATTGCATTTTTAAAAGAACCTCTTTCTAAACTTGCATCTGGTTTGATTAGTTTGCCTGATAACAGTTGCTTTGAAGGGAACTGAAAGTTTATTAAAAACCAGTTTAACATAAAATGTGACATACGTCTGTGCTCCAATGGGAAACAATGAAGTGTAGAGCAAATCATTAAATAAAAATCTCCTGGTTCAGTTTCAGTAGTAATATTGTATCATTGTAGTCATCAATAAGCCATCAGCATGATACTGCAATCAGAAAAGGTAGAAATAGCAAATGAAGTGTTTTCAGGAAAGTATTAACCTTGTTATGTAAGACCTTGAGGTGATCTCAACTATTCTAATCTCAGCATCCACATTCAAGAAAGATTGATTTAAGTGAATCAACAGAAGGAGCATTAGAATGAAGAGCCTGTTTATGAGACTATACTGAGAAGTGTGCAACCTATGTAGTACAGCAGAGCAAAGGGTAAGAGGATATGCATTTATAGATGCATCAGAGTGTAAACAAGAGAGAAAAATAAATGTTTAAGCCAGTGAGGCTTAATATTTAAGCTAATGAGGACAGTACATGCTGGAACAGCCCTAACAGAAGCAGTACAGGCAAATATTTCACCAGGATTAAAATGAATTTTTATTATTTTAAGAAAGGGATTATATTATACATTACAGGAAACAGCTAGGCATGAGGCCCAATWCTTTTAAATATCTTTCAGAGAATATGTACTAAAAACTGCAATAAGAAAGCCTACTATTTTAAGAATGTTTCTAATGATAACACATTACTGATAGAGGTAGCAAAAAAAATCCTGCTGCTGTTTTCTTTTGCTCGGATCTATGAATGCCTCCATTTTAGTTACCTCCCATTGCAAAATCTCTGTCATTACACACACACAAAAAAATGGCATATCTGTGGCTTCAAAGGATATGGCCTAAATTATGTATTTAACACTACTTTTTAAGGTATTGTTCTCGGTTGGCTCTTTGCTAAGATGTATGAAAATAATAGTGTCTATATATGTGTGCACATATATAAGTATTATATAAAACTGATCCTGATGGCATTTATTTTACTATTGATGCCTGCCTTATTTATTTGTTTATAACTTTTTTGATGAGAGGTTGTTGCAAAAGCTAATTTGACATCTTTATATTCTATAATTCTATACATCTTTATATTCTATATATTCTTTGATATCTTCTGTAATCATTGAGGAAGCTCAATCTATAATCTTTGAGCAGCCCAAGCAAAATATCAGCCTTTTTTTAATACCAGATGTGTGCATTTCAATGAAGCAGACCAAGATATAACATTTTGACCTAGGAGTTCTTTCTCTGAGACTGAGAATTCAAAATATGAGATGTTTCAATGTTTCAGATGTTTCAAATGAAATGTTTCAGTATTTCTGTAGAGAACATTCAGAACTTCTGACTCTGTGAAAAATGTTGATAAATAAATTCATTGTCTTAGGTTGGAAGAAAATTCTGAAATATTTTCAGTAGCGGGAAACAGCTTTTTTTTTTATAGATTATTTTTCAAATTAGTCTTGAAGTATATTCTACTTTTTTTCCCCCTCCCCTTTTATAATGGCTCTTTCCTTCCACATTTTTAAAAAAAATAAGGATGTATTTTAAGCATACCTAAAGCTTTTAAAATTTACCAGTTTCATAGGTCACACCAAAAAGGAAATTCTAGAAGACACAATGGAATGCAGCACAGTTTCATGAAGAGAGGCTGTAACCATCAAAGGACACCCGAAAGAGGTTTCACTGATTCTGCTACTCAAAGAACCACTTATTGTCTGATTTTTTTTTTTCCTGAGCAGATCTTACAATATCTAAAATAATTGACTACAGAGGAAAGGAAACATCACGTTCTGTGCCAGGAAGCTCAAGCTGACTGAGAACCTTTTCTCCCATTCTTTGGGATGTTGGGAAATGGGAGGAAAAGAGATGATTCCTTATTGGGACCAGTGATGCTGAGGGTGATGGAGGATTTATTCAGTGGAGGATTGTGAAGGGACATGGTAGTGAAGTGAATTTTATTCCCAAAATCTCTTCAGGAGAGCATCCTAGCAGACATATAAAGATGGAAATAGTTGATTTCTTAGAATGATTGCATTTGAGAATGGGCATTTGATTATGTCTTAGAGTGAGCACATATGATATGGTAATTGCAAAGAAGCACCATGGAATTTGGTGGAAACACCAAAGAGATGGCAAGTGAAAAATACTTTATTGGACTTAGAACCGTTTGTGAGATCTCAGCTCTTGCTGGAAATGCTAAAGACTGTCATCACTCTGAAGTGATGGTTCTCTGAAGGTACTTACTCTTGCATAGGTCACTGGGTTGTCTGGTAGCAGCTTGCCTGCAGTAGTTTTGGTTACCCATCCTAGGCTTTCAGATAGCTGAGAGTGCAGTATGAATACGCTGCCCTGAGTGGCAGATCGTGAATGGGGGCAGGAGTGGGATACCCTGGGATTTCCTGACCTCCCCAGAGTACCCTGCTCAGCCCTGTGCACTGTTAGGAGAGAGCACTGTGTATTACTGGCACGGTCAAAATCCAGCCTGCCTCCGTGCCCCATGATGGGCAAAATCTGATTCCCTTTGTGCATTCAGGTTTAGAAGCACTAAAGAAAAGGTAGGCACTTCCTTCCTCGGTAGTTTGTCAGGTTAAATATTTATATAGGCTATAAATATAAATATTTATATTAAGTCTATTATAGAGTCTCTTTTATTCTAGAGTTTGTTATTTACAGTGGAAATAAACAGTATTTGATTAATCCCATAACAGAAGTAGTTCAGCAGCGTCCCAGAATTTATTAACAAAGGAAATGGCAAACTTCTGCTGGTGAGTAATGGACTTCTTTATCATGAAGTAGTAATTCCGTTTTTAATGGGATATTTACACAAAATGTACAGCCGTATCTCATCAGAGGGACCTCTTGAGAGGGTCAGCAAGTCTGGAATGCAGCTGATCTCTGTTGTAGCAATAACAGCTTTTTAACACCTGTTCTTAAAAATGCACATTTGACCTCCTATGGGGACAGAGAAGGGTGCCAAAGACAACAGAAAATTTCTCATGTCAGCTTAACAAAGCTACATGTATGCTTAATGTCTTGTTAAGACTGTGCAGCTGCAGAAGGAAGGCTATTTT